TTGCTGAATTTTTTGTTTACGTTCTTTAACTTAAGCTTGCCTCAACCAAATGTTATGAAACTTATACACAATACTTATAACTACAAAATTTGGATCATTTACAAATTTGAGTAGTGTCACTTTTACCGTTCTTCAGTTATGTCCCTTTATAAATTTATATGATATGCAAGCGGGGGCATCATCTGTGTCCCATGGACACATTCCCCATTTATTTTTTTAAAGATTTTTTCCTGCTCTAGCTTCATTTTCTTGTAAAGAATATGTAACTTGCGTTGTTTGCAAAAAAAAAAATCCCTACCTACCTACCCAACCCTACAAGGCATGGGTAAGCAACATCAAACAAAGAATTTGTTAACGGGAGTCCTATAGAGAATCTAAATACAAGGATAAGATACCTGATTCAATGAGCAAGACAAACATTTGTGCAATGATCTTCATAAGGTATGCTCAAGACAAAAATCTGATAACTGCAAAGAAAATGAGTCTGTCCTAATTTTGGAATCTTAAAACTAAATTGTTTAATTTTTTCAATGTTTTTTTTTTCATTTGATAGTCCGTTTCTCCTTTATTTTAGGGAGGTGGTCAATTTTCTGATTGTTCAGTTAATCTTTGAATGGGGTTGAATAAATTCCAATGGAAGTATTCTTTCAAGTCTGATCCATTATAGAGGGTCTGGATGGGGGTCCTTTATTTCTGTATTCTTAAATTTTTTATGTTATTTTTCTCTATGCCTTATATTTTTTGCCCATTATTCTCTATTTTTGATATTTTAGCACCTCATTTTTTTTGGTCCATTTTTCTCTATTCTGTAAACCCCCATCCACACCCTCATTAAAATTCTTCCTTATTTGTATTCCTGACATATAACCAATTAAAAACCTTAGTAATTAGATCATCTCCTTCTGTGGGCTGATATGCTCAGTCATAAAAAAATATTTTGATGAGAATAATTGGAGAAGAAAGTTTGGTGCAAAATTAGTTTCAGTCTTTAATGTTCTTTAATGATTACGACAATCTATCCCTTGGCATTTTTATGGTCTATGTATGAAATGAGTTGCAGGTGATTTTTGTGCACAGTGAAGTGCAGCGTTAACTCTTGATGAAGTGCAGTGTTAAATCTTCCTTACATGTGGCTTTGTTTACAAAGCTAATAAAATTGTTATTATAGACTGTAATTAAATTTATTTAACTGCTGTAAATAATTGATGAAGTACATATTTTCCGGAAATATTGCCAATTTCTCATAGACAAATTCTAATTAGTTTAGCAGTGATGATGATATTTGCCAAGATTTACAGACAAGTGGTGTTCTGTGACAAGTTTTATTCTATAGTGATTAAATTTAACATTGACTATTGATACTGATCCAATTTTCTGTTGAAAATTATAGCAAAAATTATATCTATCAAGAAAATTCAGATGGAAGCTAGCTATAATGATCTAATGATGTAAAAATTACATTTCATTACAAGATGTCTTCATAAAATAGATTTAATGGATGATATCAGATTTTATGTCTGAATTTTTCATGTTTCATTTCTCAATTACTTCAGTTGGGTAATATGATGTTTATAGTTGGTGAGATACATGGAGAAGTACAAAAAATATGATATTTGATGATTTTGAGCATTCCTGATGAAGGTTAATTCAGAAAGGCGCTAAGGACACATTAAATTTATAGAATATTATTTTCATTTAATGATACTATTCCAATGTGCACATCACGTATATCTGGAATAATCGTTATTTGGTATGCTTTTTATTAAAAGTTTGGAAAGCCGAAAATATGAACTGTAGATCGAGAGCTGTGTTGATTCTGCAACAAATCATCACAATTATATAAGTCCCCTTCTTAAAAAAAAGTTAAATAACAAAAACACTGAACTCCTGGACAAATTCAAAATGGAAAGTACCTCACCAAATGGCAAAATCAAAAGCTCAAGCACATCAAATGAATGGAAAACAACTGTCATATTATAAGATCCTCTGAAGAGCCAGCCAATCTTTTAATAAACTAATTTCATTATACAGTCAAACCTGTATGTAAAGGTCTCCATAAGGACCAGAGAAAACTGACCTTATATGAGAGGTGTCCTTTTAATTGAGGTTTAAAATACATAGATATTACTACAGTGAGACAACAATGAGGTTGACCTCACTATAATATAAAAAAAGCTTTCTACTTATTGACTGCAGAAGAAAAATATAATTAATCTCTCCAATGTGAGGCCAACTACCATTACGATAGTTTATGCTTCTTAAGTAATTTGTGGTTACTGTATACTAAGCTGTCAACCCTGATAGTAATATACAATATATATATCAGAAACGCTTTTAATCAAAGCAGTCTAAAATCATCTGAAGTTATGGATGCTTAGCCTTCACTCTCCAGAGCAATTTCTTTTTGGATGATAATTTTTTATTGTTTTGACAGGCTTACATCTACCCCATGATTACTAGGGCCATAAAACGTTATTGATTTTCACTATTTTAGTTACCTACATGGTTTAGAGATTTATTGCTGTCTTGATGCTAATTTATATTGTTTCCTTGGTCAAATTTTTTATGACTAGGTCAATACGTTCATATGTCCCAAAATTGGATTCCGTTCTCTAACTTTAGTTTGCCTCAACTAAATGTTATGAAACTTATACACAATGCTTATTACCAAAAAAAAACAGATCAAGTTCGAATTTGGGTGGTGTCACTTCTACCGTTCTGGAGTTATGCCCCTTTATATATGGAAAAATTTCTGAATTTTTCGTTTCCGTTCTCTCACTTTAGTTTGCCTCAACCAAATGTTATGAAACTTATACACAATGCTTATTACCACAAAACTCAGATCAAGTTCGAATTCGGCTGGTGTCAATTTTACGTTCTTGAGTTTTGCCTCTTTATAACGTTATAATGGACACATTCTCCATTTATTTGGATGTTACATTTGAATTGACTGTTTTGATGATACTATATGGAAGCAGAAAATGATCAGAATTATGCCCCTTGAAATTATACTTTTTAAGGCTTAATTTTCAAGTATTATTTGGTACATAGATTTCTACTTTTGTGAAAAAAAACCATATTAAATTTGAAAGGCATCTGTTCAAATATAATATATGTTTACAGGTAAATGTTTTATGTAATTATTTAAAACACAGACAATTATTTATAACAGGTGTAATAATTTGTTCCGATTGGACGAAGTTGTAGAATGCCAAGGTTAGATATTACTTTTACAATGGCAAATTGCACACATCTTAATGTTTTATCCTGGCTGTCATTTTTAACTGAATCTGACATGGAGGTTGTTTAGTTTGTTTCAAATTATAATTGTCAACAGACCTTGACTGGATTTTTACAATTGAGTTGTCAGAGTTGATTTTAAACTAAATCTGACATGGAGGTTGTTTAGTTTGTCTGAAAATAATTGTCAACAGACCTTGACAGTATTTTCACACTTGAGTTGTCAGATTTTAAGGAGTTCTAGTTCATAAATATCTATCTCACATACTGTTTCATAAAGAGTTGACTTAAATATCTGTTTGATTAGGTCAGAATGAAATCAGTTTCCTAGTAACTATGCATGACCTTATTTTCATGCTCCAGCGGTTAAGTTAAGTTTTCAGGGTTGTGTCTGTTTCTTAGTACTTATATATGGCAGGTGAACACTATTAAAAAATATTGATTTGTTATTAGGAGTAAATATCTGTCTGTCTGTCTGTGTCATATGACCGTCACCTATCTACAGACTACACTGGTCATGTTTAAGATTTTATATTGGAATTATCATAGAAATTATACATTAAAGCCAAACAATATTTTGTATGTGAACTATGAAAGGAAATGCATGTGCATCTAAAACTTTATTTGACCTTGGCCTAGGCCTAAACAAATTTGATTACTGTGGATTCATTTATTTTCGTGGGTACCAATTTTCGTGGATTACATGTTCGTGGATATTTAATTTTGTGGTTTTGCTGAAGTCTGCATACAAGTCTATAGAACATTTGTTATTCGTTGAACATTTAATTTCGTGGTTCACCTGTACCCACGAAATCCACGAAAATTGGTATCCAACGAATAATAATGAATCCACAGTATTTATTTTATAATATTACTGCAGAAGAACTATAGTGTCAACTTGTATTAAACTGTTTTCCTTTTTATCTTGAAAAAACTCTTGTGGACATCCTTTTCTTGTGTTGACAATTAAAGATATGTTAATTTAGGCCACAACAAATGAAAAAGAAGGGATTTGTTGCCAAAAAAAAATATTACCAAGTAAACAGAAAATGTTTTAATTGAAAATTCCAGATAAGTAATTAAGTGGAAATAAAAAAAAATTGATAAGAATCACAATAAATTGGAATTCACTTTTTCATTAAATTTGAATTCAGAAATTTCTAGAGCCAGCAAGTCAAAAGAACAAAGAATTAATTTGGCTTGGTCCCTTATATATGTGTTTTCAATTGAATGCTATGCATGTAAATGAGCGAACTTCCTCTCCGTTTCGAGGAATGCACTAAACTTCACAGGAAGAAGAAGATGGAGTGACCTGTGAAATAATTCATGTGTCCTTTTATGTGTTATGTAATATTTTAAAAGTCGTTTGAACATCCTATCCTAAGGCTTAAAATGTCTTATTTTGTTATGAATGCAGACCTTGATATATTTATAATACTGGTAGCTAATAATGAAATTACATAAGTACATATTGAAAGGGATGAAATGTGTCTAGACTGCTATCAGATTGTACTTTCTCTTGTAATCAAAAAGGATTAGAGAAGGGAGGGTATTGTTAGTCAGATTGCGTCTATTTGTTCCTCACTGGTTAGAATTTTAGGGTCCTCAGATATGAACTTATACGTGACTGTTATAAGGGTGATGTATATCAACTGAGGTGGGAATAAATATAAATTCTGAATGTACCCGGTACATAAAAAAAAACTCTGGCCTCCTTCGTATAACAAAACTAATGATTAGAACTTATCTCTCTTTTGTAGATATGAGAAAAGCGTTATCTAGAGATACAGAGAAGAAATCGGTGATTCCGTTGGCACACCCTGTTCGTCCAGAGGAGTTGGATTGACCATGAGCCAGGTGAACTATGATGGAAACGAGTTGCTATGGTTACTTACAGTTGTCAGTCTGTGTTTCACTGCAGTGGTAATAACTCTAATTTTGTCGTTAGTGATGTCAGAGAGCAGCATGGCTGACAGAGACTTGTAGCAGAGAATGTGTGACCATTCAACAAAACAGTCTAATATTCAAACTACATATTTGATAACAAGAGCTGCAGTTGAATTATTTCTGATTGACCCACCATTTTTTGAAAAATGTCATGTTCATTTGTACAAAGAACATCTATTCATTAACAGTAAATTGAAGGAATTTGATTTCTCTACATATTCTATGCCTACTTCTGGAACAAACCCTTACCATATATTAAGGATTCTCTTAGTGAGGGTTTCCTTAATATTATGGCCATTAAAACCAGCAGGTAAAATTTTACTGAAATTGTTTATTCACAATTGGTAAACAGGTAAGGGCGTGGGATTTGTATGAGTTGAAAATTTGATTTCTATGATTATGGTTGTCAACAGTAAAATGATCTGTCTTAGTTCAAAACATTTTTAATTCTAAAATAGAATTTATACACTGTGTGATCTTCTAAGCATTGAAAAAAAGTTATGAGCAGTAATTAAGATAATGAAATCAATTGTGTTTCTTTATACAACATTGTAATGATTGCAAACAATTATGTTGCTCCTATAAAGTTGCTGATGTACCATTGTCAGTTTTTCAATATCAAATTTACCAACCTAGAATCTTGTATCCATCATTTTTCACCTGGAGATTATTTTTAATTTGGAATAAATTATTACTTTTAAATAATCTTTGTTCATTCCTAGTGTGAAATAACCAGTCTTATGTTATCACTTTCATCATGTTCATCAGACAATTTTCAAAGAAAAAAATGTTTACAGACACTTTGCTGTTTCATAATCTAAGGCATTCTGGGTAATATTTTTAAAACCATACACCAATGGATTGTGATTGGTTCACACAAAGTCCTAAAAGATGACTATCCAACCAATGACATTACATCATTTTCATTTTGGTGTACAAACAATGAAAATACCCACAATTTCTCAGATTCTATCATGGTGAATGTAGATGTATGAAACATTGGCTATATTCCTATTTATAGCATACTTATCATAAACAAAAAGGAGATATGAGGTATATATCAATGTCATGAATGAGGCAGCAACAGAACAACACAATAGCAAAAAGGTATCAAGATATTTAATTATTTTAACCCATTTTATTGTGCCAGATAATTTTCTCATAGCTGATCTACATGGTAAATTTTCTGATTAACTGGGTATTTCTAAGTGATTTGAGCCATTTTAGCGTACTACATACTTTTGGAATCAATTGTTGTCTTCAGTGTGTTGTCATCTTTCAAAATTTTCAAATCTGAAAGCACTTGATATAAAACATGTTATTTGCTTCTTCTCGAAAAAAGGCAAGAATATACCAAAGTAACAATAAAAAATCACTAGTCATTGAAAAATGAAGAAAAGAAAAACACAGACAACAAAGATTGAGTGACAAGAACCCTAACAAAAACCATTGGTTAACTTAGGTACTCTGAAAGGGTCAGTAATGACAGCTCTTTTCAATGATTGAAACAGTTCTGTGCTACCATATTTTATGTGCATCATGCAGCAACACCTTGTCAACATGACAGGGTACATTTTTGACACATACTTTTAAATGATTTGGAATTTCATTTACCATGATTCTAGGGTTGTGTGTATACAATGGGATTGTTTTATCTCTAACCCAAAGCCCTTTTGAAATCTCTTTGGAGCCTTTTTATGTGGCTACCTGAACATATATTGCAATCAATAGTTCTATAGAATTCTAGATGTGTTATGAACTGTTCCTTGCTTGATTTTGTTGATCCAAATATATCATGAATATACACTGTAGGTTTGACATCGGATAGCACACTCTCAATAACAAAAGTTTTTTGTGCTACAGACGAGTATGTTTCCCCTCGAGTTTTTTCGTCAGCCTGTTCAACCATACCTCCAGCAGAAAAAGTAAACACACAGAGATTTCCAAGGTTAAAGATTAAAATTTTGTCAATAATATGGGAATTGACTTACGGGTAATCTTTCTTAACCAATGTTGATATACAAGAGAAGCTGTTTTCTATTAAACATCAAAGTCAAAGATGATAACAAGGAACCATGCTAGATTTTTAATGCCTTTTGGATTGCACAAATTGCAAAATCTTCAACAAACTTGGTATACTCGCACATTTATTTCCTAGGAGAATATGAAGCTATTGATCTTTGAGGTCTAGAGTCCAATTAGACAAAGGTCTTGGCCAATATAATACAAGATCAATTATATTGCTTATCTTTTAGCTTTACACAGTGACAAGTAAGAAGTATAGAATAATATCCTGTGATCTTTGATTTTTGTACTAGTATACACAGACCTAGGAGACAATGTGGGCACCAGCCTGTCACTATGTACAGACCAACTTCAGTGTCATTTGTGTAGAGAATCAAAATCTGCAAACGTTACAATAGAATGTTTAAATCCAAAAGTAGTTCAAATCCATTTAGGTTTTTCAGAATTTGAAATATTTGACCACTTCTGTGGACAGTTGATCTGTTGGTCCCCTTGGTACATATCTGCACTCTTTTCTCGTCTTATAGGTTTTATGTTGAATATGTCATTTTCTCTTAAAGAAGGGATTGGATTTGTTCCAAGGCATTATGGCATTATTGACCAAATGTGGTATGGCTTTCTTTTTATATTTCATTTGTTCACCTGATCTACCTTATCTCTGATAGACTGTTTTCTTGAGCTTGATTTTGTTGGTTGGCCTTGCTTTCACGGCTGCTCTTTTGTACTAGGACTCTTACTTTTAAATGGAAGGATATGATAATCGTATCTACATCAGCTAGAAGATTTTAAGGCTTCATCTATTTTAAGTGGTGTTGTAGTGGTCATTTCACTTTATAGGGATGTTGTCAGGTCTTTTCCTAGACTGCATGTGTTTCATGACCGTACTTACCATTAGACTGCACGTGTTTCATGTTCACAAGCATTAGACTGTGTTTCAAGAACTTTATTAGCATTCCACTGCATGTGTTTCATGAACTTTAATAGGATTAGACTGCATGCGTTTCATGACCTTACTTACCATAAGACTCCATGTGTTTCATGAACGTTATTAGCATTAGACTGCATGTGTTTCACGAACTTTATGAGCATTAGACTGCATGTGTTTCACGAACTTTATGAGCATTATACTGCATGTGTTTCATAAACTTTATTAGCATTAGACTGCATATGTTTCATGAACTTTATTAGCATTAGACTACACGTGTTTCATGAACTTTATTAGCATTAGATTGCATGTGTTTCATGAACTTTATTAGCATTAGACTGCATGTGTTTCATGAACTTTATTAGGATTAGACTGCATGTGTTTCATGAACTTTATTAGCATTAGACTGCATGTGTTTCATGATCTTATACTTACCATTAGACTCAATGTGTTTCATGAACGTTATTAGCATTAGACTGCATGTGTTTCACGAACTTTATGAGCATTATCATGACTGCATGTGTTTCACGAACTTTATGAGCATTATACTGCATGTGTTTCATGAACTTTATTAGCATTAGACTGCATTTGTTTCACGAACTTTATTAGCATTAGACTGCATGTGTTTCATGACCTTATACTTACCATTAGACTCCATGTGTTTCATGAACGTTATTAGCATTAGACTGCATGTGTTTCACGAACTTTATAAGCATTATACTGCATGTGTTTCATGAACTTTATTAGCATTAGACTGCATTTGTTTCACGAACTTTATTAGCATTAGACTGCATGTGTTTCACTTCACGAACTTTATTAGCATTAGACTGCATGTGTTTCATGAACTTTATTAGCATTTGACTGAATTAGTTTCATGACCTTGCTTAGCATTAGACTGTATGTGTTTCATGACCTTGCTGGGACATAGACTGCATGTATTTCATTACCTTATTTGGCATAAGACGGCATTATGTTTCATGACCTTGCTTAGCATTACACAGCGTGTATTCATGACCTTGCTTAGTATTAGACTTGCTTTTACATTTTGTGGCATGTATTACATAACATATCATTCTTTATATAAGCTTCCTTAGATGACAAATCCTCCTTGGCCTAGCTACTTGTACCTAAGATGACATAAGTTTTGTGACCTTATCTAAGTTTTTCATATATTTCTCTTTTTTTACTTTAAATAACATGCGTTTAACTTTCTTTCCCTTAACTACCGTACCTGACATGTTTCATTTCATGGCATGTATTCAAGATCTGACCTACTTTTACAAGTTTCATCACCTAACTTTACCTTAAAGCTTCTTGCCCTTTCCTTTTCATTTCCTAATTTACTCAGGTGCCTGTGTGTTTTACAGTTGACATATATAATATGTCATTACTTGTTTTTATTTATCGAAATGACGTGTCGTGCACTACCTGCATACCCACACCAGATAGAATGTGTGTCATGAGTTGATCTTTTCAGACTAAGTTTAGGGAGCTACCATTTGATTTTTAGGGGGCTAGGATGAAAAATTTTGTCCTGCAATTTTTTTAGTTGTAGTCTATGTCCTGCCTTTTTATTTTTCACTCTTTCGGTCTTGCCTTTTTTTAATTATACTGACTTTTTTTACATAAATTGTCATCCTGCCTTTTTTTACTCAAAACTCCTGTCTTGCCTTTTTTTTCAAATTTCATCCTAGCCCCCCATAAAAATCAAATGGTAGCTCCCTTATACTGCATGGTTATTTGCAGATAAATGCTCGGTCCATATGCATTTTTTTGCCCACGCATTTCTTTATAGACCGAAGTGTAATTGGTGGAGATCGTATAGAAATTTCCTTTCTTGAAATCGCCATTTAAAGTACACACTTACTGGGAACTCAAGGACAATGTTTATTTTTACACCACATGTACAAAATACATGAATCAACCAAGACACAATTAATATTAATTGAATTGCACTAATGACAGTCTTAGGAAGACATTAATATCCCATAAGTGTTTGTTTATCATAGGACAAGTGTCTTAAATCTGTTGCAATATGGGATTTATCACAATATTTAGAAGTTTAGGTTCTGCAAAAACCTGATACTGGCGTTTGCTTACTAGCTTAATCCTGTTGCCCCTTAGTGGAGCATAGGCCACTAACGATATTTCTCCACCTTGTTCTGTTTTTGCTAGCCTCTCCAGATCATGCCACTTGTACCCTTCTTTCTCCATCGTCGTCCTGAACATGCATGAAATATTTGCCACTGGACGTTAAGCAACCAACAATCAATCAATCTTTCTCCATCTCGGCTGCAACGTTTCGTCTCCAGGTGTATCTTGGTCTGCCCCTGCCACGCTTTCCTTATGGGTTCCACTGTAAGGCTTGCCTTGTAATGCTGTTATTTGGCTTCCTCAGTATGTATGTACCCATCTCCACTTTCTCTTTTCTCATTAACGATTATACCACACGATACTGGCGTTTGGTACTAATTTATTCGTATACTAATATTTTATCAAGACATTGTACTATAACAACACTCAGTTAAAAACTGGTATCACTTATCTGGTCTACTTTTCTCGGGCATCATGGTTATAGTAAACATGGTTAATAACATCATAACATTAGTTTAACATAGTCCGTAGTTCGTCAGTCGTTTTAAGTACTAAATCCTGGCTTACTGCTCGACAGTAGACGTGACGAAGAGGTTGAACTAGGAACCAAGGTTAGATAGTTATCAGGTTGTTACCGTTACAAAGACCTTAGACCTCG